GCTGACGCTGGAGGACGTGGCTGTGCAGTTCACCCGGGAGGAGTGGCAGCTCCTGGCCCCTGCTCAGAAGGACCTGTACCGGGACGTGATGGTGGAGAACTATGGGAACCTGGTGGCCGTGGGTGAGGATGTTTCTCCTGTGTCACTCCAATGGCCTGTCATTGGCCTTTTCTTTCTTGGCTACTGAAACCTTTACAGGGTCTGTGGTCTTTTGCATGCTGGATTCTCAGTCTAGTCTCTGGCCCTGGATGAATGGGTATATTCTCCCTACTCCTGAGAAAAAGCCTTTACTGTGTATGTGTGGAAATTGTTTTGTCCCCAATACAACATTCTCCAGTCATCCCAAAGCTAAGCCCAATTTTGTGTGTCTAAGATTCTGTGATTTCCCATGAACAGGGTATCAAGTTAGCAAACCAGATGCACTCTCCCGGTTGGAACAAGGAGAACCGCCATGGAGTTTAGAAGATGAAATCCATTGTCGATACTTTTCAGGTGAGTGAACGAAAACCATCAAGGAGGCAAGGCTGTGGAAGTCACATTCTGGTAGGAGAAGGCGTTACAACTCTTAGCTCTGTGGGTTGACAAGGGGATCCGTAGATACGTAACAGTGCCTGCATATATCCCTCTCCCACGTGGAATCTTTTCCTTTCTTGAGTTTAGAGAAAAATATACCCCTTTGCCTCTTCTGAGATCAGATCTTTGACTGTTTGATCGACATCTTGTTATTTTTGTTTGCATAGTTTTCTTCTTCCTAGGATTCTCAAGGAGCTCTGGTGGCGTAGTGCCTAAGGCATTTGACTGCTAACCAGAAGACTGGCGGTTCAAACCCACCAGCCACTCCTCAGAAGGAAGAGTAGGCAATCTACTTCTGTAGTGATACCGCCTCAGAAACCCAAGGAGGGGTCGCACTGAGTCATCTTTCCCTTCTTCATGTTGTTGCACCTCCATTGCTTTGAAATTCCACGTTCCACAGAGAGAACTTGGAGCTCCTAACAGTCTACTGAGTATGACACTGTCCTTCTCCATTGGGTAATGCTGATTTCCTTCCCTCAGGTCCAGTCCTCTTAGATGTAATACCCCCACAGGAATCTGGCCTCTCACCATGTCTTTATATGCCTCCGTAGCTTCTTTTTTCCCTTACGCTGACGTTCTCCAAAGATTTGATTTCCATTATTTCATCTGTTCTTATATTTTGTTAGTAATAGTATTGTCAGACCCTGCTTAACTTCAGAAGGGGGAATGAGAATCAAGATCAGCCCACAGCTGATTCTATGAGGTGGAGGTTAGACGCGACTTCATCCTCCAAACTTTTTACCAATTCTGACACCAAAGGTCCTTCCCACGGCACTCCCTACTTCTCTACTGGTTCAATGTTTTGTTGAAATGGCCACACAGAACTCACGGGAAGTACTCGTGAGTA